AATTTCGAATCTTTTTTCATAGAGATAATTTGTTGGTCACTTCTGTTTCTTAGTGTATTGACTCTAGGGCTTCTACTCATGCATGTAATACATTGTGGGGGTTCAAGACAAGCAAAAGACTGAGTGACGGAGAAGTTACGCACTACTTGGGGCTTCTATAATAGTTGCAGCTATAGCCATAGGAACTATAGAATTAGTTTTCAGAGAATGAATTATTGTACTTAAAGATTGTCTTTATGTACCTACACATAGAAGAAATTTGATTTCAATTTCAAAATTGTGCATAGATAGTTATTTTATTTTGTTTAGTAATGTGATTACTACTAAACAGAATAACAAATTCCTCACATATGGAGAACTTGAGAATGGTCTCTATGTTCTCTATCATTTTCTAGAAACAAACTTAACCGAAACTACGTCGGAAATAAATCCCAAGAAGAGAATTTGTGATACAATTAATCCCACGTGCCTATGGCATTACCGACTTGGCCACATTAATATAGATCGTATCACAAGGTTGGTAAAGGATGGTTCTTTGGATTTTCTAACTGTAGAAGATCTTTCAAGTTGTGAACATTGCCTTTAGGGTAAGATGACGAAACGACCATTTATAGGTAAGCTTAAAAGATCTACAGGCATGCTTGACCTTATACATACTGATGTATGTGGTTCAATGATTATTAGGACACGTAACCAGCACGTTTATTTTATAACATTTATCGATAGCTTCTCATGATATGGTTACGTGTACCTAATGAGACACAAGTCTAAATCTTTTGAAAAGTTCAAGGAGTTCAGACAAGAGGTCGAAAAACAGTAGAGGAGACAAATTAAGGCCATTCGGTCAGATCGATGAGGCGAATATCTCTCCGACGAATTCAATGACTACTTGAAGGATAATGGGATTGTATCACAACTAGCTCCTCTTGCAACACCACAATTAAGCGATGTATCAGATAGGAGAAATCAGACTCTATTGGATATGGTCCTTTCACTTCTCGTCCACTCAGAGTTGCCTATATCCTTTTGGGGTTTCGCATTAGAAACTGCGATTTATGTGCTGAATCAGGTTCCAACCAAATCCGTTCCTAAGACTCCATATACGTTATAGACCGATTAGAAACCAAGTGTGAGACACTTGAAGATTTGGGGGTGTCTGGCACATGTTAAAAGAACAAGTGTTGACAAATTAGAATACAAAACCAGCCATTGCCTATTTGTAGGTTACCCCAAAATCTTTGTAGGTTACTTATTCTATGATCTAAAAGAGAAAAATGTGTTTTGCAATCGAAATGCCTACTTCCTAGAGGAATATTACATCTTGGACAATCTTCATTAGGAAGTTGTTCTTGATGAGGAGAGCACAGGGGTAGTGGGAGATGTCTCACAAGCTCTAGATAATAACTAACCTAGAATGTCTACCCGAGTATCCAGGCCTCCAATTCGTTATGGCTATGACCAAGAAAGTTATTTGGTGGAAGCCATGACCAATGAGAAAGATCCCGTGACTTATACGGAAGATATATTGGACATGGATTCCTTAAAGTGGGTAGACGCCATGAAAGCCGAGATGGACTCGATGGACTCTTATAAACCCACCCCTTGGGATGAAAACAATTGGTTGCAAGTGAATTTACAAGAGGAAGAAGGGCTCGGATGGTAACATTGAAACCTATAAAGATCGCCTTGTGGCGAAAGGGTACACTCAGAAAGAGGGAATCGACTATGAGGAAACTTTTTCGCCAGTAACTATGCTTAAGTCTATTAGGATCCTACTAGCTGTAGCAGCATACCATGATTATGGGATTTGGCAAATGGATATCAAAACCGTGTTCTTGAATGGAGATCTTATTAAAGATATCTACATGTAGCAACCGCAAGAATTCATTGCTGCGGGTCAAGAACACATGGTGTGTAAATTCAATCGATCCATATATGGACTTAAGCAAGCTTCTAAGAGCTAGAACATCTGGTTTGACTCTACTGTCAAATAGTTTGACTTTGAACAGAATCCAGATGAACCCTATGTTAATAGAAAGACAATGCGAGTTAAGGTTACATTCCTGGTTCTGTATGTAGATGACATTCTACTCATTGGGAATGACGTAGGAATGTTAACTACGGTGAAAGTATGGCTTTCACAGCAATTCTCCATGAAAGATCTTGAAGAAGCCTCCTACATCTTGGGACTTCGACTCTATAGAGATAGATCGAAGAAGATACTAGGATTATCCCAATCTACTTACATTGACAAGATTGTCAAAAGATACAGTATGGAGAACTCTAAGAAAGAAAATTCTCCTTTCAGGCATGGAGTCATTCTCTCTAAGGGCATGTCTCCCAAAACTCCCAAGGAGATTGAAGGCATGAGAGAGACTCTCTATGCTTCAACCATAAGGAGCATCATGTATGTCATGTTGTGCACTCAGCTTAACATTGCTCAAGTAGTGAGTGTGGTAAGTAGGTTTCAATCTAACCCAGGTTAGGAGCACTAGACAGCTGTGAAACACATTCTGAAATACCTTTGAAGGACAAAAGAGTTTTGTCTGGTATTCGATGGTAGTTCACTACAGATCCAGGGTATACTAATGTCGATTTTCAGTTAAACCCAGATGATAGAGTCTATATCTTGTTACATCTTCATGATGGGGTCCTGTGCAATCAGCTGGAAGAGCAGCAAATGGGGGTCCACCGCAGATTCCACAATCGAAAGAAAGTATTGTGTGACAAAACTGGAGTCATTGCTCAAGCTAAGAAGCCACGAGCCCACTCGAAATCAAAGCACATCGAGAGGAAGTACCATGTACTACGGGAGATTGTTGGTAGAGGGGACGTCCAGATTCAGAAGGTAGTATAAACGGAGAATGTAGCAGACCCATTAACTAAGCCACTGACACAGAAAGTGTTTGAGAAATACGTGGAAAGTATGGGACTCCGGCTTGTACCTTATTAGACCTAAGTGCAAGTGGGAATTGTTAGACAGTTATGCCCTTAGCTCCAACTAGATTGATGTAATTAATGACATTTATTGTAAATGAATAAAGTACATAATTGATTCATGTTATTTTGGTGTGTTTCTGTGTACCCTTAAATTGGACACTAATGAGACTTGTGTTAGTTTAGAATCTTCACAGTCGTTGGATAGATCTGGGGAGATTTATCCTGCAAAGGCCGACACTGATGTGCTGCCAACAAGGTTGGGGGTGGCTTATCTCAACTGTCAGGGTAAGACCCAAAGCACATGTAGTGTAGATTTTCTTGAAACTCTGAATTAGACCAAATTCCAGTATTACCTTGGACCTTAGAGACAGATGGGCAAAATTGAAATGTTACACCTGACCCCTAGACTTGATTAAGGTATTGCACTATGTGTCGGATTGGGCTGTCTTTGATATGCCAATAAGTGAGATCCTTAACCGGGTCAAAACTTGGGTGTGTTGGGGTAGTCCTAGAATTCACCTGAGTGGGTGATCATAGTGACAGGATCAATCCCTTTGCCAGACAAAGTGAATGATCGGGGAATGCACTTTCTAATGGAAACCTAAACTATCGACATTTGATTTCAAATTGTTGAGATTTATTTTGCAAAATATATTTATATAGAGATATACATATATATTATAATTTCACAAAATGTTTGCAAAATGTTTTAATTTCCGGGATCCATATTAGTAGAGAGTGCAACACTATACCTTACATCCGAGGGAGAAGTTCTCTCTTATCGAGCAGTTTTTGATCATTATGGGTTGAGAGATTAAGTGTAAGATCATTGAGGGTTATACCAGATGGGCTAATCTTGTATCTACCTACAGTCCTTGGGCCTTCATAAGGTAGTTGAACCCAAGGACCATTCAGTGTAAATATTGGGCCCATTAAGAACCCATATTGATATACCTAGGGGTTCTCTGTGTTTTATAGTGAATTTGGCTAGGCCTTGTAACAAAGGCTGGATTGAAGCCATGTGAATAATATGTAGATCAATGCTAGGGTCCCACACCATACAAAGAGAACTAAGCTAACCGGCATTTAAAGGAAAAGTGAGCTATGTGACTAAATGGGCCTAAAGCCCATTTCGAACTGGACTTAAGTGAGTTAATTAAAAAGGGGCGAATTCTAGTTTATAATCTGATTAGGATTAGATAAAAGATAAGATGTCTTATCCATTTAAAAGTCCAAATCCAAATATTAGATTTGGATCAAGAAACTCTTTCCTAATTGGATTAGGAAGCTGATCCAAAGAAGGCTATAAATAGGGGTGAATTCACTAGTTTCATGTGCTCGACAATCTGTAGAATTCTCCTCTAGTTCTTTCCACCCCTACCTAGTTCGATTTCCACCTTTGGATCTGATCAAGAATAGTTCTTGATATTTTTTCTTGCTAGAGGAAACAACCTAAAGTTGTGCTCACTAGTTCATTGCGTGATTCTTGCTGAAGAATTAGGGTTTTGCTGAAGAACCACTTTGTTGATCATGCCTCACCATAAGTTGTCATCTTCAGTGGAGGCGGGTTTTTGTCACCTCTTTGTGAGTGAGCACCTACGTTGGGAGTTACTGTTATTCCGTATCAGGTATATTCCTACTTGCTTCCTTTTAGTTTCAGATCTGGTTCGATTTGTTTTAAAAACGAACATTGAAAATGCAGTTTTCTAACTTATGGAATAAGATTCCCGAAATGAAGAAATAAAATTTTTGAAATTTCACCCAACCTCCCTATAAGGTTCGACCATCAATATGATGGATCTCCTTTCCCTTCAGTGAAACTATACACATTTTGAATCCTATTTCTTGAATTAATAAGATGCCATGTGTGTGAATGATGATAGTGGACTGTAAACTTTAACAACTTCTTAGAAAATATCACATGTCTAACTCTCCAGAAAAATGAAAAAACCACATGTCTAAATGGTGGAGGATTATACTGTAGTAATAAGTTGTGAGTTTTAATAAAAATTTCTTAAAAATTGCCACATGCCTAACTTTTAAAAAAATGACCGGGGATATAACACGAAAATGCCGCTGTAAAAGTACCCATCCAAAGCTTTTCTGACAATAGCAAAGCAAGTTAAGGGCTAGAAAGCCCAAGCCGGCACTTCACTACAATAAACCCACAAAGACAAACCCACATGCTACGATTTCTACCAACCGTACACATATTTGATATTCCAATTGGAGCAACAAGCAAAACAACTCATGGATTCGATATTCCACAAACCCACATGCTACGATTTCACGTGTAATCTATCCTTTAGGCGTGTAGCTTACTCTAATACATTCTAATCCAACAACAACAACAAATGGGCAAGCAGTATGACACGTGTCTAAAACAGCAGAGCTGGCATCCACGTGGAAATGGGCCCAATAGTACAAACATGAACAACACAACGACAGCGAGGGCATTACCGCACGTGTTTTCAATAGCTGGATGTTAGCCACGTGTCAATGACCCCACCGGTTTTATTTCATGAAAGCTTGTCGACCGCGCAAGGCGCACAACAGCAGCAGCCAGCAGTACGGCTGCATAATTACCAAACAAGCCCTCAACCGACGCTCTTCGTTCGTCCAGATCTGCTACGAATAAAGGGTGCCTTGCTTAAATATCGCCTCTTTAACTTCAAGGCTGCAGAAATAGGAGAACCAATGTAATTTCCTTTCAAATCCGGGGGCATTTTGGTAAATGTGTTATCCTTCACACTCTTCGCCTGCACTGAACCGGTAGTGCTGGGAGAGATCAGACGCGCTTTCTGGTCAATCATGTCATCACTGCTGTCTCCATCTCTCTTCTTAAAGACAACCATGACCGTACAGTTTATCGTACGGACACCGACAACGTCTGAGGATCTGAGGAACGAGCCCACCGGAGCGGCGGCCTTCATTACCGCCGTTGCAGGGAAGCTGCCGGAAAGCCGTCGCATCACGACGCCAACACCTCCCGGCCTCAGCACCCTCTCCATCTCCAAAACCAACCTCGCCGGGACCCGAACCCCGTCGATCATCTCCGTCGAGAACACGAAATCGAACAACCCGTCACCGAATTGCAGCCCGTAAATCCCACCTCGCCGGAACAGGGACGAGCAAGATCTGTAAACGCCAATGGCATCAGCGAAACCCAATCTCTTCATTACCATAACCGCCCTCGCGGAATCACGGCCAATCGAGAGAGCTTTGTTGCCTTCGACGAGCCAGTTCGCCGTCATTAGCTCTCCGAACCCGGCCTCCAGATCTGAAACGTTCATTCGGAGCTTGACGGTCTCGATCGTCCAGGAGGAATCGCATACGTCAATTGTATTGACGAGATTGAAACATGGGATTGCCGCCACAGCGATGGACAAGAGGAATATTCTAAGAATCAAGCTCTTGTAAGAGAAGTTGTGGTAGATAAGCTGAAGCTTGAAGAGCTTTAACGCCATTGTTGAAGAAACTGAAGCAGAGAACAAGAGGGTTTTCCCTAGAAGGATCAAATTTTCCTTTTGGGGGAGAAAAATCGAAAGAGAAGGAACAACCAGACTGAGAGGATTAGGGTTTTAGCGAGTACAGAACCTGCAGGAGGTGTGATTTCCACCCACAAGTAGACCTTGAGACTTTTGGAAATGAAGCCAGACACGTAATGGGATGCGTTTCGGGTAACGAACGTGCCGGAATCGGGCCATTTTGGAGAATCTGAATCGATTACCGGAACTACATTTGGTGTTGCAGAGGAGGAGACGAAGAGAAGAAGAAACGGAGAAGATGAACGATAAGTCTGCGTCGATTTGAGGTATTTATATCTGAGTGGGTAAGATTTTTTGTTAAACTGATCCTCAAATTATAAGAAATTACGAATGTGACACGAGGCCTGCGTTGCCGCGTAGCAGTGCAGGGCTTTTTTTGTAATTTGAAGAAATTGCATGGGTAATTGTTCGAAAGGGACAAGACGAAAGTTAATGTTGAATTAGCAATAAATCCAACGCTATGGACCCGAGGTCCACTTTAGTCTTCTGGTGTCATTTTGTGGGCCGTAAAACTTGTTGGGAATTAGGGCCCATATTCTGCTTGCTAATTGCTTTCATGAAAGCAAATTCGCTGAAAAGATATTTAAGGTTGTGTTTGGTTGCAGTATAATTTTATTTGTATTAGTATAAATGTACGGGAGTGTAAATAAAAAAATGTAAAATTTGGTTTAATTTTATTTTGAATTTTAGTTTATTCTGATTTAGGTCTTATTTTACTTCATTTGTATTGCAATCCTAAAATTTGAAACAAAAATAAATTAAGATTTACACCCAAAACATTTGCAATGCCATAGTTTTGCATCAGTACAAATAAATTTACACTGCAATCAAACACAGCATAGTTAACAAATTGCAGAAGAACTTTTAAGCTGGTTTTTGCAGCCATTGGGGTCCGTTTGGAAGTGATGCTGATCTGCTACAACATGACTTTTTTTCGGCTGGTAATCAGTCAGTTGGGGTTCCCCCACTTTTATCAAACATTAATTGTAGGCTTTTTGGGGTGGATCCCATCATACAAAGCCCAAAGCAGCATGTTTAAACTCTCTAACCAGGTCTTAGGTTGTGTTTGATAATAATATTTCTACCTAAAACGTTTTAGATTGATCAATACAAATTGATTAAAAATATATTTGTCACATCACATATAACAATTACTTCAATCATCATGCTCCCCAAGTCATATTTCACATTATAGATGAGAACAATAATTTGTATCAATCAACTCAAAACATCACATAAAAAATGTATCTTTCACCATTTGTATTGATTATGCCAAAACATTTCAAACGGAAGTGTTTCGAGTAGAAATGGCAATACTTTCAAATATAACCTTAACCAGTTAAGCCTCAATGTGGGGGCCACTGAGCAGTGGATCCCAATCATCCTGTTGCATCAAACCCAAGAGCTCATGATGCACTTTTGTGTAGCATTACTTAGTTTAGAAGGAGTATAAATACAAATATGTATAATGTAAATACATACAAAATAATATAAAATACAAGGTTTTGCATTCGATACATTTGTATTTAAACTTCTTCCAAATTGAGCCTAAAGGACTTAATTGCCACATCAGCAAAATTACTATCACATATTTTCATATTAAGGTAAGAAAGTTTTACTTTACAACCTACTATTATCATATGCCTTAACAATGGCCCATTTGTGAGGGTGCCCTTATTAAAGCCACCCACCATTACAGAAATGCTCATGAGCCACATCTAGTAATTCTGCACCATTGGAAGCAGATATGAATGTAGTCGACTGCTAAATAGCTGACTGATTGATATTGCTTTGTCTTTTTAAGACATAAAATAGTCACATCATAATAAAATATTTAGAAAGTATAATAATCTAATAGAACAAAAGCCACTCAGCCACTTCAGCCGTTGCCAAACAGCCCCTAAGAGGTGGTTCAAGTAATCCAACAACTTCTACAAATCGAAATTTGGCACCGATTCTGATGAATAATACAAAATACAAAATAATGAGGTGGATAAGTAATGCCCTCATGAGACTTAGCTAAGTTGATGTACTAAGAAGAACCCATATAATACTTATTTGTAACGGCTTAGCGGCTTCTAGTGGACCTCACACGAAAAAACTAAAAACTATATTTGGTGAAAAATCTAGAAAGACCATTTAGAAAATCTAAAAAGCCCAATTACATTACAACTAAATTAATAAATCAGATTTTTTCTAAAATTGATTTTTGTAACTTCTTTAAAGCCGCTGAATGAAATCAATTCAATGAAAGCTGAAACCCTCCCAAACGGACTCATAATAGTAGGCCCAAATCGAAATTCTCAACACATGCGTGGATACTTACTGTTAACCCATATAGCCTATTATATAGAGCTGCGTTGGTAGGAGATATGGAGGTTCATATGGGGATTTGCCAAGAATATCTATAATAACTTTTTTTTTTTTTATAAAAACAAGTAGGTGAAAATTGAACTCATAATTTTGTCTATATTCAATTCTTCATGATGCAATCTTGTAGCTTTGATAGTCAAAAGATGTATTGAGTTTTTGATATAAGATTCGGGCAGCCTGAAGACTGTTTAGCATATGTGTGTCTTTCCAGGTCTTCCTGCACGAGATTAAAACATGAAAGACATGAAAAGCTTCATTTGGAGCTTCCTGAAATCAGCCTAAAATGGGCTTTTTGTGTCTTTTTTATGTTCCGTCTTTTGGTGACTAGATCTTCCACGTACCAAACGAAAATAGACCAAATTTCAGTCTACTCAACTTGTAAACAGTTGAAAGACCGTGCGGAAAGATGCGCCAAAGCCCCATAGTAAAAGAGTTTTAGATCTTTTGTAAACTCTATAATCCTTGGTAATGGAAGTTAAGAAATCTATGGACTAACATAAGAGAAGGCCAGAAGGGCCCAGCATCATACCATGTACATCAAAGGTGTCAATGGATAGTGAAATAAGTGTCCCAATATCTTAGACACGTGTTGCAAGTCAATCAGCCTTGAGAGGGATTTTTTGACTACCTCGGAATTCTGATTTGCATCCCCTCCTAATGTATTAGTAGCCCCCCCATAAACCAACATCCTGCCCGTGAATTTGACGTAAATCCACGGGCAGGATTCAGTATACCCCTAAAAATCCTAGCTCCACCCTAGAGGTGGCTGATCTACTTGGTTTATTGGTACACCCCCATAAACCAACATCATAAATTCTACCGATATGACTTTTAGAGAAGTGATCAAACCTCCAAAAACTAAATGTCCTCATTGAGTAGAGGTGGCTGATCTACTTGAATGCCTGGCCTTAGCACTCAAGACCAACATCCCTTGTGGGGGCTGCCTTGATTAATGGCTATATACCAAGGTTCTTCATGAGCACATAATTGCTCATGAGGGCGGTGCATGGACTAGCATTGTGCCACATACATGAAATGGAAGCTTTACATATGGGTTTGGCCTATGTGTGTCCTTATGCCATGTCAACCCTGTGTCTAAGTTGATCGAGCTACCTCGTTGTCCAAACACACGAGTGTATTCAAAGGCCTAACACTTACCTAGCACATCAAGATCGCACAATCCCCCTTTGGCACATAAGTGGCACATCCCATGGATCGAAAATGACATACACAAGAGCCTCGACCATGTGAACTGAGGTGATCCTATGCCACTTAATTTAGTGGAGCCATTCAACAGATTGACACATAGCCCTTACAACATAAGAGGCTTGTCTTGGTCGTATAAGCCTGAACACCACACAAGTATCTTCTGCTACACAAGCTTACCTTGTGACAATCTGGTAAGTTCTCTAGAAACCAATTTGTTTTTGTCTTTCAAAACGAAAATAGAATTCAAGAACATATTTTTGTTTTTTCACTAATGTTGCAATTTCAAAAACAAATGAAAAAACAAATATTCATATTATAAAATACCTCCTAATTGTCTCATTTGAAATTATTCCAAATGTAGAGGTTTTGTGCAATATTTTCAAACCTAACTTCAGAGGTTGAATTGCTTATCTCCATTGGTCAGTGGAGTCTGGATCACTTGCAAACAAAAGATGTTCCAACACTCTCCCAACATGATCTGACACCACACATGTCATACATGGTGAATCCTACTTTTATGGTGGATCCTAGTTTCATGGTGAGATGCGTAGTGTCAGATCATGTTGGGAGAGTGTTGGAACATCTTTTGTTGGCAGGTGTTCCCAACTCTGGCGAATGCCTTAGTAGGTTCACTTATGATGTTGTTATTATAAAATCTTAAAAAATAAAATAAAAATGATAACCCATTAAATGGTCTAAGGGTTCAACAATTCAAACTTTAGGTCGATGAATTATTTACACAATCAATGTTTTTTTTGTTGAATATGAGTTTTTTTTTTGGACATGAGTTTTCTTTTTTATGCCTTAGACAACAACTCATGCAAATGGGTTGCCCAGTGTACAATTACAATGAATTGCAAGACACATATGGAATTCCTTAGTGGTTTGAAAATCATGAACGCTATTTTGGAAATCATGAAAAGCTTCTAACGCCAAGTTGGAATCTCTTTTGACACTAGAACAATTCCGTTCAACTAAGGGTGCAAATTAATGGATCAGATCACGATTCGATTCAATCCTATTTTGGATCACCCCTATCCGATACAATATGTATATATATGTTATTTATATTGTATTTTTGTAATTTTTTATAAAAAACATGTGTATATATACGATGAAAATAGTTGAAAACATCCGTGTATTTTTGTTTTTTTATTTAAATTGTTATATTTTCTTTTTCTTTTAATAATTTATTAATTTTTTTAATTAAATCAAGTTGGATCAGATCCGATCCGGATATCCAACACCCTAGTTGAATTCGAATTCGAATTCGAATCAGTATTTATGAAATCTGTTTGGATCTTTAGATCAACAAATCATATCGAATCTATAATGTACCAGATTGAATTCGGATATAGCCTGATTTGAATCTGATTCAATCCATTTACATCCCTACCATCAACAAATTTTGGTCTCCATGAGAGTCCAAATTATGTTTTTTTTGTGATAACCAAATCATAGTGAGCCATAGTAAAAACAAAAGACATCCCAAAAACCTCCAATAGAACATTCTCATTGGCTACATTTATCTCATCAGTAACATTTTTATAACATCTTTATTTGAGTAGGCACTGTTTATAACTAAAGGTGAAGCTGAGACTTCTGCATTCAGTCTTTCTTGGACGTAAGCACTTCTTTGAAACATCATATTGAAAATTGCTTGATACTCCACCATGACTTTATTATCTTTCTCTCTTCTTTTTTCTTTTTTTTTTCTTTTTTTTTTTTTT